ATAGATAATTTGGGGGCTGGAGAGATTGCTCCGTGCTTAAGAATACTTACTGTTCTTGCAGAAGACCAGGATTCAAATCCCAGCACCCACATGGCAGATAACAACTGTCTGTAACTCCAGTCCCAGGGAATCCAACAGCCTCTTCTGTCTGTGGGCATTGCATGACATAGGTGCACTTACCTACATGCAGGCAATACATTCATATACATAAAATAAAAATAATAAATGAAATATTAAAAAATAAATAAAAATAAAAATAGATAATTTGAATAGACAATTCTTCAAAAAAGAAACATAAATGCCCAATAAGAGCATGTCAAGATACTCAACATGATTAGTCATTGGAAGATGCAAGTCAAAACCATAATAACACTTCACATCAACTATCTTGACTCTAATAAGTGCTTTTGAAGCCAGACAACTTCAACGTGTAAGTGTAGAAGTAGGAGACCGGAAACCCTCACACATTGCTCGTGGGAATTGAAATGGGACAGCGGCTGAGGAAAGTATTTTGACCACTCCTCAAAGAGCAAAACACAAAATAATAATACAACTTTTCATTGTACTCTTGCACATATATTTTAAAATTTTAAAAGAGGTGCTCAAATAATTACATGAATGCATAAGCCCAGACGAGCACTATTTGAAATACCCAAAAGTAGAAACAGCACATATGGACATATTAATGAACAAAGGGATTAGCACACTGTGGCCCATCCATATAAACAGTTCAATATTCAACCACCCAACAGAATACAGTAAAGTGTTATCAGTCATGAAGAGAAAAGGTGTGCTAACTTTTACTACCACACCACAAATGAATCTTGACAATATTATGTTGAGTGAAAGAAGTCAGACCCAAAAGGCCATGCACTTTATAATCCCATTGCAGTAGGCCCTTCACACAGAGAGATGAGATACCAAGGTTGTTCCAGGAAGCAGTTTATTGGTGCTAGTACTTGGCTCCGTGGGTTAATACTCAAAAGACAGATCACCAAACAAAGCAAAAGTTTACGTTTTGTTTTGTTTTGTTTCGTTTGTATGTTTTTATCAGACTTCTTTTTTCCAATTTTTTTTTAGAAGAAGCATTTCATTACCACTTTAACATACTCATTAAGAGTTTCCAGAGCAAAGATACATCTCTTTCAAAAGTAGCTATAAAATTTTTAGGTTCGCTGTTGAATTAATACAGCTATACAATATTGAACTCAGTATAAGCCCTTTAAGACATAAAATTGAATAAGTTTTTAATCTTTAAAAAGGATCTCCATTTCATTTTAAAATACACTGTTTCTTACAGAAAGATTCATTGCTTTTGCTACTAACACTGAGATGTTGGCACATCTCTAATCTGTGTGTATCTGATTAATACTAGTCATAACTGGTTGCACTCGGATCCTTGGCACCTGTGTATGTCTACAAAGTCATTGGGTAGATTTCAGTGGTAATGTTTATCACCTCTACTAATTACCATGATGTAAATTTTTATGCTTCCTCCTCAAATATAATTTTTTTAATTTGTTGGGTTTTTTGTGTATGTATACCACACAGAACATCCCAAACCATCTTATTCAACTGTACACCCCTTTCCCAGATGGCACCCTCCCATAGCCTCCCTTCCCCCACTAGAGCCCTTATACTCTTTTCCCTGCTACTGTGTGCTGTGATGTCGGCACCCCCAGCTGTTCCCCACTACTTGTCCATCTGGTGAAACTAGTCAGCCCATCTAGAGATCTTTGTTTCAGGAAGGTGAGCTGTTCCTCATCTAGCAGCAATCGGTTGTCAATATACCTTTAGATAAGATTGGAGTCTGCTGTTCATTTTCCCAGTTCTATGCTGGGTTACTATCTGGGAGTCCCTTGGGCCACCCTGGCCAACAACTCAAAAGAAGGTATTTCCTATCCAGCATTGTTGCTTGTTGTGTAGCCTTTAGCTACACATATGGACTCTAAAAAATTATATTGACCCCTTTAATCTTTGGTTATACTTTCCTTTTGGGTGTTTAAAGCCATACAGTTGGCCCAGATAAACCAATTTATTTTTACTCTTAAGGTAGTCGTTTGAGGATCTGTTCCTCAGGGGTCACATGGGCTTAGGAGGAGTCCCTGGCTTCTTTCTTTTACCAGTTCCACGTATGTGAAGATAAGTTAAAGGACCTGTTCGACCATGGCTGGCTTCACTTGGAAGCATGGAGGAAATGATTCCTCTGTGTTGACCCTCCTCTTTGTAGACTGGACACTGGTTCAAGTACATCTCGTGGGGTCTCCTCGGCCTCCTTGATCAAGACAACAGGTGACCCACCACAATTACAGGACATTTTGAGAGATGCTCATAGTCCCCTGGAACTAGTCAACGTAGGAGGGCAAGGAGCAAAATCTGTCCTTTATGTCCCCCTGACCAAATTAGTATAGGCCTCAAAGTATGTCTATTAAACATCCAAGAAGGTTAGTTCCACCAGTCTGGTACTTTTAATTACTGTGTGTCATGTAGATAAATCTTGGGCAAAGACCAATTGTTCTCAGATAAACCTTGCCTAGACATATATTTCTTGATCTGGTATGTATAATTTGTCAGTAGGTTGTTGGACTAATATGGTTCCCTCTGGTTTTTAAAACTAGCTAGGCATTATTTATCTCTCGCATTGTCTCACCCCTCCATCATGGTTTCCACAATTAAGGTGCCCCCATTTTCCTGCTTTCTCCCTTAATAATATCCTTCTCCTATGTTCCTACCTCTCTGGAATTCCTTCTTTCCCTTTATCCCCTGGGTTCCCTGTATACCCTTCCCTCCCCGCTCCCTTAAACTAACCCAATTTTTATCCACATCTCCCTTATTAAGGCCTGTTTCCTATTGTTCTCTTTCAGATTCTTTCTTTCCCTTTACCTCCCTGGTTCCTTTCCATTATCCTGGCTCCTGTAGTTATGTCTGGATACATATGCACTTACCAGGATTTGGTTCTAGGATCCACATATGAGGGAGAACATATGTTGATTTTTTTTTTCTGAGTCTGTGTTACTTCAATTAGTATAACAGTTTCTGGTTCCATCCATTTACCTGCAAATTTCACGATTTAATCTTTCTTTACTGCTGAGTAAATCTTCATCTATAAATGAACCACATTTTCATTATCCACTTATCAATTGAGGGACGCTTAGGTTGCTTCTGTCTCTTAGCTATAGTGAAAAGAGCAGCAACAAACATGGACATAAAGTGTCTCTGCAATAGAATGAGTTCTTTGGGTATACGCCAAGAAGTAGTATAACTGGGTCAAATGGTAGGTTCATTTGTAGTTTTGGGGGGGGGTTGTTTTGTTTTGGTTTTTTTTTTGTTTTGTTTTGGGGGGGTTGGGGTTTTTTTTTGCTGTATTTTTTGAGACAGGGTCTCCCTGTAGCCCCAGCTGTCCTGGAACTCACTATGTAGACCAGGCCAGCCTTGAACTCATAGAGATCCACATGCCTTTGCCTCCTGAGTGCTGGAATCAAAGGCGTAGTCCACCATGCCTGACTCATTTGTAGTTTTTAAAGAGTTCTCTACACTGCTTTCCATTGTGGTTGAACAAGTTTGCAGCCCCACCAACAGTGGATGAGTGTTCCCCTTTCCCCACATCCTCTCCAACATTTGGTATCATTTGTTTTCTTGATCTTAGTCTGACTAGGATAAGATGAAATCTTAAAGTGGTTTTAATTTGCATTTCCCTAATTAATAGTGATGTTGAACATCTTTTAAGATGCTTCTTAGCCATCTTTACTTCTTCTTTTGAGAACTCTCTGTTCAGCTCCTTAGCCCATCTTTTAATTGGGTTACTTCTTGTGTTGATTCTCCATTTTCTGAGTTCATTGTATATTCTGGATATTAAACTTCTGTCAGATGTGTTGCTAGTGAAGATTTTCTCCCATTCTGTGGGTTTTCTCTTCACTTCTCTGGTTGTCTCCTTTGATGTACAGAAGCTTTTCAGTTTAATGAGGTTCCATTTGTTAATTCTTGACCTTGTTTCCTGAGCAATTGATGTCCGGTTTAGAAAATCCTTTCCTACACCTATATTTTTAGAATTTTGCCTATGTTTTCTTCTAACGTTTCAGAGTTTCAGGCTTTACATTGAGGTCTCTGATCCATTCGGAATTGACTTTTGTGCAAGGTGAAAGATAGGGGTTCAGTTTCATTCTTCTACAGGTGGAGATCCGGTTTTGCCAGCACCATTGGCTGAAGATGCTGTCTTTCCTCCAGTGAATGTTCTTGGGCCCTTTGTCAAATATCAGGTGGCTGAAATTGCATATACTCATATTTGGGTCTTCAATTTTGTTTTTATCTCCTTTGTTCCCCTGTACAGTGTAGTCCTTTGTCTCCCAAGTATGGCAACACATTGTTTTCTGATGATTGTAACATGCTATAAGGTCATGACAAACTGTGTATATGCCCTTCAGCAGGGACCAGGATGCACTCCTCCCTTTGTTTTGGGAGGGTCCCTCCCATGCTGTGTGTATTAAATATTCAAACTAGGTAAATGCATAAAGGCATAAAGCAGATTACTGGTTCCCAAAAACCAAAGTAAGGGCAGAAAAAGGAGACACTGCACACTGGGTAAGAGGTTACAGCTGAGAATGACAATGTTTCTAAACTAATTATATCCCAGGGATGTTGCCACCATTTTGAATACACTAAATGTCCCTGAGCTCTTTGCTATAAAATTGTTCATTTTATATTGTGTGAAGTTTCAGGGAAAGTTGACCCACAATCCCACATACAGTTCTTTCAAATTCTATAGGGAAACTAGGATGTGAATTACTCTTTTGTATGCTGAGAGGAGAAATAAAGAAATTCCAGTTCAGAAAGAGCCACTTTGGACAAAGAAAGGCTAGAGCCCTTTTCTGTTCTTAGTCATTATGTTAATTATTTCAGAAAATGGAAAGTTTCCATTTCCCCTCACATAGCAAATGCATTCCAACACATTTCCTCTGGCTTAGTGTCAACCCGGTTAAACACATGTTTCTTGTATTTTGCAGACACACTTGGCAAGTGCAGGACAAGATTGATGCCAACAATGTGGCTTATACAACTGGGAAGCTCAGTTTCCACACTGACTACCCAGCCCTCCACCATCCACCTGGGGTAAGGTGAGCTTCAACAAATTTTCCACAAGCCAAGCCAAGGACAAAGGTTCTCCTGTACTTCAAGTCCAGATTATACATTTCTCCACTGAACTGTCTTATATTCAGCCACAAACCAAACTCACAAAAATCTCCATGCCTAAATTCTGAATGTCTCCATTTCCCAAAAGGACAGAGCATTTTCTTACATCTTTTAAAAAAACAGTTATTTATTTCTTCCTGGAAAATACTATTGGAGCTTTCACTTTTCCAAGACAGATTTTAGGACAGCAACATATCTTGAGGTGTTTCTGCACATATATCACTCCCAGGAGAGTTCAAAGAGAATGAAATCTGGAATCACAATGTGTGGTCACATGGTCGTGACTGATGCATTTAAAACCCCTCGATTTAGGGGCTGGGGAGATGGCTCAGTTGGTAAAATTGCTTGCCACACAAGCATGAGGACTTCAGTTCAGATCCCTGTTATCCAAGCAAAAAGCAAGGTGTGGATGCATGTGCGCCTATAATCTCAGGCAAGGCAGAGACAGGAGGATTCCTGGAGCTTGCTGGCCAGCTAGTCTAGGCAATTGAAGAGCTCCAGGTTCAGTGTGAAATGCTGTCTAATGTGAAGAAATAATTGAAGATTATGGCATATGTTGACCCCTGGCCTCAAAATACGCAACTAAACATGTGCATATGCACCCATACACACATATGTACACACACACACACACACACACACACACACACACACACACATACAAACACACACACACCCCTCCCTGATTTAATAGCTTAAAAGGACAGACAACAGAGGAACACATTTGATGTCCTGTTCCAGTCTCCACATCCATACTCATAGGCATGTGCATACCTACACACCCACATGCATGCATCACACACACATACACACAACATACAACACACACACACACACACACACACACACACACACAGAGTCAAACTGATGGGAAGTACTTATAAAATTCAAAGCTGTAAAAAATACCCCTGGGGGATGTAGTTCAGTGGTAGAGTGGCAGAGAGGCCCACATGCATGAGGTCCTGGGTTCAGTCCCTGGTAATGGCAAATAATAAATAATAATAATAATGAAGAGCTAAGGTAGTCAGCACATGCATTTTTACTATTGGAGCTGTGTTCCTCTGAGCGGTTACTGTTTGCAGCCATCTGGGACTCATCAGCTGCTGAGTTGGCTAGGGATTAGCTGACTTCAGCTGAAGCTGAGATGGCTTGCCTCTGCTTTCCACCTTGTCTATTATCCTGCAGCAGGCTAGCCCAGGCTTTCTCACAGGGAACTGGCAACATTTTCACAATGGCAACCAAAGCATGCAAGAATCTTGGGACCTAGGCCAGTAATCAGCATAGTGTCCCTTCAGTCATGTTTTATTGATCTAAGCAATTAGTGGGGCTAGCCCAGACTGAAGAGATGAGAAAGTGACAGCTCACATGAAAAGCTACAAAACTGCTTTACAAACGGATATTGGCATGAGGAACAGAATAGTCGCAAGCTTGGGAAACTCCTTCCTATCCCATCCATCAGATCCCTTGCCAAAGAAGATGCTCTGTGAGCAGCACAGTTCTCCCCAGGGGAATTCTGACTGGACACTCATCCTCTCCATCTTCACAAATCATCATTTCACTAAACCAAATGCATTTTTACAAAATCATCGTTTTACTAAACCAAAAAGCAGATGGTCAGGAGACTAATTTTTAAAAGGGAATGTAGCCCTAGTTTTCTGAGCTAAACTGTCTGAATGAAATAACAACACACAAATCTGTCTCTTCAAAGGTAGATAAAAATTTGATCAACTCTCAAGTTAATTAAGAAGAAATAGGCCAGAATCAAGATGAATTCCTTTTTTCATCATCTGAACTGAACGTATTTAGTTTGTGCCCTCATCCTTACCCATGGTTCTTGCCAGAATTAGCTAAGCTAGTCTAGTACTTGGCTTCATGTGTTTTAAATTATTATGTTGATTATAAAGCACCACATGATTTCTCTGAACCAAATGATGACAGAAAAATGACTTTTCTGGTCACCTTTGTTGGTGGTAGTTGAAGGAAATGCATAGCAAGGCTTGTTCCAAATGTGGTTCAAAAAAAAGCCAAACTAATCAACTCAGCTCATCAGATAATGGCTGAATGGAGAGTGACTTCAAGAATGAGACCAGAAAACAAAAGGGCCTACTTAAATTGTTAACGCATCTTTAGCTTTTTTGTGAGTTTAAGTTTTGTTTCTAGGTTAAATTTGAAATCATAAGGAAAGGGAATTAAATGACTTCCTATGTACTCATGAGGTATAGCACAGAACTTCCCAAGGTATAGTACAGTGTTTCCTGAGATATAACACAGTGATTCCTGAGGTATAGCAAGTGCTTCCTAAGGTATAACTCAGTGCTTCTCAAGGCACAGCACAGTACTTGGCATCTTCTTACATTTGTACACTTTCTGGGAACATTTTTACATGCATGTCTTTACTTGAGCTCTCCTAGAAATCCTTGAGGTAGACAAGACTCGTTGTGTCTGGCTCTGTTACATGAGGAAAGGAAACAGAAGGCTTTCATAGGATGGCATCTAGTTAATGGGGACTTGAACCTAGACATCCACCTAGTTTTTTTTTTTAATCATTATGTATGGTTCAGAATTGGAATTACTAATTCCCATAACATATAATGTGGTAGATTATTTGTATACATTGTCAGTTTTCAAACTCTTCAAAGACAGTAACTGAATCTTACACTTCTTTATCTCTCAAAACTTAATTCAGCATCCTGTACATAAGAGCAACATACCAAATGTGCTATAAAAAGCCAAAAAGTGCAACAAGGTTGTCCCTGTCTCCATCAGCAAAGGAAGCATCCAAAGCTAAATGACTTGCTATAATATTTAGGTTTTTTTATTTTTATTTTATGCGTAGGACGGTATTCCCTGGATGTAAGTGCACCAGTGTCATGCAATGCTTGCCCAGGCCAGAAAAGGGTATCAGATCCCCTGGGACTGGAGTTATGAACAGTTATTAGCCACCACGTAGGTGCTAGGAACTGAACCCGGGTCATTCTTCAAGAGATGCCAGTGCTCCTAACTGCTGCTGAATCATCTCTTCAGTCCCCTTGCTAGAGTTTGAAATAACAAATTCCTGAGCTGTTTTGTTCTAACAGAAGAATGCCTCCAGGCACCTACTGACTTTGCTCTCATTCTGCTTCCATTTTGAATTATTAAGAATTATTTTAATACCAAAGTTTGGGCTTTTCTATAGCTAATAGGAAAGGTAAATGTTCTTTTCGGTACAGATGAAATGATCTGGAAAATGAGTTTCCTAGCGAGAGTTCAGCTTGATTTAGGGACAAGGAGACGCATCTTAAAAGATACACAGCTGTTGCTTTGCTCACATTTTTCTCTGAGCCAAAGATCACATGGTCCAATAAAGAAATATTTAGAAAGGAAATTTTTCGTTCTGAGCAATTTATGTGAAATAAAGTTGGGTTGTATACATGACAGGGGTATATTTACTTTCTTGATTAGTGGTGAAAATGTTATGCTCAATAATAACCTATTTTCTTTAATAAGGCTGTATTTAAAATATAACTACACAGGGGCTAGAGAGATGGCTCAGCAGTTAAGAACACTGACTGTTCTTGCAGAAGTCCCGGGTTCAAATCCCAGCACCTGATGGCAGCTAACAGCTGTCCGTAACTCCAGTTCCAGGGGATGCGACAGTCTCTTCTGTCCTCGACAGGGGTACACTTACCTATATGCAGACAATTACACGCATACACATAAAATAAAAATAATAAAATATTCTCTTGTTTAAAAGGCATCAACTGGACTTTCAAAAATTAGTATTTCAAATATTGTGTGGGTCCACTATGGTAAAATCCAAAATAATTTGAACATCGATTCAACTAAAGACAAAGTCGTACTCTTGCTTTGCTCTGTGGTGCTCTGTAGACCTGCAGCTGACTCCTCTCCTTCTGCATCCTTGTGTTGCTCTATCTCTCAATATCCTCCTGAGATGACTGTCCTCAAAGGGTTTGGACAGTTTGTGCATGTATTTTCCAAGCTTAAAAGTTGCATCACTTTAAAGATTGAGTCATCATTTACTTGGCCTAGAAAATAAAGATGTATTTATACATTCATATATCACACAAGATTGGACTTATAAGAATACTATAAATGGATTTTTCCTTTATAAGAGAGGGACTTCTATGTATCAGTATTTTAGGCAAGTGGTCAAAAGTTTGAGTACCATCTTTACCACATTTTGATTACATTTTTATTAGGGACTTTTTTTTCCTTCTCCTATTCTTTTTATTATCAAGAATTTTCTACAAGGAGACCTTACACATTTCTTGGGATCTTTGTCTTTGTGAATATACTCATCTTTTGAAATTATGTAACACTTCATTAAAACTATGAGCTTTGTGTTCCTATAACTAGCAGCCTTGCTGAATTTTTATTAAAGGTAGGGTAGCAGCTAGATTCCTGCTTCATGTTCTAACAAAAGCAAATATTAGAAGGAAATGCACTTGCTGCTGCTCTGGTGATCATCTAGCATGTCCTCTTCCAGCATTGTATTATTAGGGACTTTTGACACCTCTGTATTTCAATCTCTCCATCTGAAAAATGAAGACAAATTTATCAAGTTCCAAGTACTGTATGAGGAGTAATGTACATTACACAATTATAATTTGAGAACAAATTGTATATAGAATTATAAAAATTAGGAAACCCATGATTTTGAAAGGGAGAAACGGTTTGTATTCTAGAGCAGTACAGTATTAGTAAGGCTTCCGCTGATCACAAGAAGTAACTGCTGAAATTTTAATGTAAGGTTGAGTAAGAGGCGGGAGATGGCTTGGTGTGTAGAACACTGGCTAGGGAAGTGTGAGAAGCAGGCTTCAGATTCCCATGTGGCAGCCCTCTTATCACATCAGCACTCAGAAGGCACAGACGGGATCTGCTGAACAAGCTAGCTGGCTAGCTAGTCATATTGGCAAAGT